AGTTTTTCCATAAAAGTTACTTATTTTTTAATAGTAAATCCGAATCTGCAATAAAAAATGGGGGTTCCTATTTAGAATATTAAAGTTGCCCCCACCCCCACCCCATGGGGTGGTGGTGAGGGGTCGACTTTGGTATCATTGGATGTCCCCCTTCCAGGCGAACAAATTTTATTCAAAACTTTTTTTGATCCGATGCGTAGTTTTCGAAATATTTCAATGTCTTCAGATAAATCGGCCACCCTGTATATATAATATTATATATATATATTATATATATATATATATATATATATATATATATTATATAGATTAGGTATAATGTACAAAATTAGGAATTAATGAATAATCTAAAAAAAATGCATTTTAAGATTTTTATTTTAACAATACGCATGCGTTTGGCAACAAAATGTGCAACAATTAATTGGTTAATTGATTGTTATCTGTTGACTCTACACAATAGACAATGATTGAAAAAATTAGTTTCTATCATAGCATTTCTGTTAAATATTGATATGAATTTCTTTATTGAGTAGTACTCACTAAGTATGTATGTTATATTTGGAGAATGCTTAAAACATTTAAGTCATTTAGCCTATGTGTGTCAATTTAAGTAAATATATGTTAAGTTTATTTTCATGAATTTATTCTTTGGTTTAATTAGTTCCTAATAGAGACTCCCTTTATTTGCTTCTGTCAAGTCTGACGTAAAATAAATAACATCAAAGTAAAAGTAACGAATTTGATACTTTTTAATATTGCTGTTTGTTATCATGTTGTCATAGATCTCTATGGTCATAATAATAGATCTCTATGGTAATAATGATTAAGAATAAATCTACAGTTCGTTTGTTTTTATTCGGAATTTGACGTCCAAATTTGAGGGTTTGGTTGTCAAATTCTAGGGACCTTAAATTTATAATTGGCTACATTAAAAATAATAAATGTCAATGACGAACGCCAGTCGTCACAAAAACGCGCTATGTCCTTGTTTAACACATGCTGGGTAAGCGCGACATCAAAATCACGTAAGTCTTAGATCCGAGTAATTGTGAACTAACCTAGAGGTTCCTTAAATTACATAAAGAAAACAATGGCCAAATAGCTTTTAACTAAGCTAAAGGCCACCCCCCTGAAGACGGAGACGTTTTTCAGATCGAATAAGGGCCGGTTTATCAATGTCCAGTTAAAGTTGCAGTTAGTTATCTGGCAGATAATCTCCATGGATACCATTGTTCTCACAACGATCTATATGGAATTTAACTGTCAGATAGACTAACTGGAACTAAACCAGATATTGATAAACCGGCCCTAAGAAAAGAAAACAACAAAAATGTAATGTCTGTGCTTGGTTCAAAAATTGATGACGAAATCCTAGACCACACCTTTTGGTGTGGTCTAGGGACGCAATGTAAGACATTCACCGCTTAGACTATAATTTAGTGGAGAATATAATTGTGGTTATGTTATAATTATAAGAATATGTTTATAAATTTTGAAATGTCAAATATAAGTTGTTAAAAAATGCAATTATTTTACCTTTGATGAAATATAGGTGACTTTCGGCCCAAAAGAGACAAAGTTGCATTCCCAGCGTACAAATACAGATGTATGTTTATTACCATTTTGACAGTTAAATGACAAATGTCAAGTATTTAAAATTAAAGGCTTGAAAAAGGGTGCCAATTTTAAATATTAAAAATACAAAAGTATACTAACATACAATACCAAAAAAAACAAACTTTACCAATTTATTAGTATGCAATATTGCCTTTTAAAAAATATATATCCCATGTTTCTTTTAAAATAACGAAGGTAGCACAATCCACATGTGTGGATTGTGAAAGGCAGATTTTCTGGTAATTCTGGGGCTCCGTAGTTCATACACCTTCAAGGTGGTGCTCAACTTCTGGGACATCCTGTCTATTATAATAAATTCCGAGACATATCGTCACCTGAGAAATATAGTGTTCTATCTACATTTTCTTTTTTTTATTCAGGTTAGTCTTGTTTTAAGTCTTAAAGATGATATTGATCTATCTATATATAATTGGGGTAGAAATTGTAAAGTTTAAGGCTTAAACTATACAATTTCTACCCCAATTATATATAGATAGAACAATACGCATCTTTAATACTTAAAACAAGACTAACCTGAATAAAAAAAAAAAATGCAGATAGAACACTATAATTCTCAGGTGACGATATTGTAACCTAAATTAGTTATCATAAATTAATGTATTTTAAAATAAAGTAACACCTCGTCTTGGATTTCAATTAAAACTTGAAGTTTTACTTTACTTTACGATAATTATAATTAACAAGGTTTTGCGCGAGATAACTAATGATTTTTAGGGAAACATTTACGTTCGTCAAGTTAGTGCAGAATAAGACGGTGCTTTCTAGGCAGCCTATTTTCATGAACCTCTCTGTAAATCTCACTTTTTTTTTCGTGATAAACAGAAAATATGGATAGCGTTTATCGAAAAGGAACCAAGCCCCAAAAACTTTTTCTGGAATAAACAAAATTATTTGCAAAAAAACTTATTTTTAATGCTGCTCAAAAAATTAATAATGATTTGGGAACCCTCTCAATTCTTTTGAGAAAAGTTCCAAATGAGTTCCAACCTTTTAAGCATGCTTAAATGCATTATTAAAAATGAGTTATTTTACAAACAATTTTACTAAGCCCAGAAAAACTTTTTGGCGATTGGTTGCTTTTCGATAAGCGTTATCCTTTATGATAATCTGACAACTGATCAATACCTAATAACTGTAAAAAAAAATAATTTGTTTGTCATTTGCTACGCACCCAAAGTTTATTGGACCCAAAGACGAGGGGGCCTACGAAAGAGAGTCCTAAGGGGGTCCCTAGCTAAAAAACTGTAACACTATCACATTCCACATGTCATAAAACCCCTGTATCCCAAATTTAGTAATTCTAGTACAACAGGGTTCTAAAATATAGGAAAAAGACTTTCAGGGGGTGTAACTCCGCCTCCGCTTTTGTCACAATTTGTCAGTGACAAAATTTTGTTGAATTTATTTCGGGACACCCTCTATAGTGTCTTTAAAGGTACTACCGTTGTTGAAGAAGTAGTCAATGGTACTACAGTAAATATACTAGGGTAAAATATATATTTTACACTGATATGAGAAACTCTAAAGAGAAAATGTTAAAAAAATTCTAGGTTGTAGTTAAGAAAAGAAATGGGTGTTGAATAAAAATTAAAATTCAATTTTAAAAATGTTATAACAAAGAAACTATAGTATACTTGTTCCAAACTTTATTATTTATACTTTTCCGGACACCATTTATTCAAAAAACATGTGACGATCTTAGCCATCCTGTATGTTTAATTATAGAAATGGTTACAAATTTTCGAATTCCAAAAAACGGTTTAAAAATGTACATTGTGTGCAAAATAAAATTATTTTTTAACAATACATTGAAAATTTGATGGTATAAAGCAATTTTACACAACGTGTCGTGTTCAGTGTAGGAGTAATAAAATATTGGTATAATTGGTAAAATCTATAGATTTTTGGAATTTTAAAAACAAATCAATAATATAAAAGTTATTTAACTTTAAAATACTCCTACAACTTTTGAGATAAACTGGTTTGATACTGTTGTAGAGTTTATACAAAACTGGCAAAAAAACGTATCTTAAACAATGAAGAAGAACGCAAGACATATGTACGGGGAAGCAAAAGGTAATGCTAAAGATGCAGCTAAAATTTACGCCAATAAATTTCCAAATATCTCAAATCAATCTATATATCAAACAAGTATTGCAAAAGGAGACAGAGGATCCATCACGAAGCACTATAGCCTATAATAGGCGTATTGGCCGGATTTGCATTTTTAGGGGCTCTAAGCAAAAGTAAGAGGAGATGCCTTCAATTTGAGAATAATTTAACCTTATAAGGTTAAATTATTATAATAATAATAAGATTAAATTATTATAATAACCTGCTAAAACTATTTCCCGTTCAGGTTAGGTTTCCCTTAAATGAGAAAAGTAAATTATCATATAAATTTACAAAAATGCGTTATATTCTTCATCTTAAAAATTGTAAATGTCCAGGCCTGTGTAAATTGGGGCCCCCCGTCGAGCCGGGGCCCTAATTAATTGCTTATTTTACTAATAGGTAAATCCGACCTGGTCGTCAGTTACAATTAATAATTGTCAATTATTTAATAGGATAGTATGGAGTACCCTCAAGGAAGACCTGCATCACCCTTATCACCTTCAAAGGGTGCAGGCTTTGAATCATGACGACCCCGAAAGAAGAATCGAGTTTTTTCAGTCGATTTTTTAATAAAATTGAGGCTAATCCCAATTTTGTCAAGGAGATTTTGTTTACTGACGAATGTACTTACGAATTCCTGCTAGGTCTTCATAAACTCCATTGCAAATTTAATAGTTTTTTTGCCTACCTTAAACCAGTTACTCTGGAAAGTTGTATCAAAATTAAGTTAAATGAATTTTTTGTTATTGTTTTCTTTTCAAAATTCCGACAAATCTAGAGGAATGTCGCCTAATTTCGGATACCTTTTCAAAATAAGTAATTACAAATTTTGTAGATAAAATAAACTTTTAATGCTTTATCTATTGGCTAGTATACAAACTTTCATATCAAAACATTTTAATTACAAAACATGTTTACAAAAAAGGTGGTTGTTGCAGTTAGTGCAATTTTTGCCAAATTTAAAATTGGGCTCCCAATTTCGGACACCCTATCCGAAATTTAAAAAAACAGTTTTTTAGTAAGAAAATATTTATTAGTCCTTGCATAAGTTACATTTATAAACATTATATTCGTTAGGCGACTAGAAATGTTAGAATTTTTTAAGTTCATAATTTTGGATAGAGGAAATTGGGAAATGAGAACCACCTACTCGTATAATGCAATGCAATACATTTAATGTTTATTTAAAGAAATAGTATTAATAGGTTGGTAGATATCTGGTACCTTAAGAAATTATTGTGACTTACCGTTTGGAAGGTCGTTCTCCTTATTGCGTGTGGAAATTTCCTTGTTGGTGGGCCTCAGGGACCACACCTCGCACTCTTTGCAACCGTCTGCGTTACGATTTGCGTCGCAACAGGGCCACCGTTTTCCTGACAACGGCACAGGATGATAAAATGGTTTAACGTTCTTATTGTCAGCACATACTGCAACAAAAATGCATTTTAGTTTTTGCCCACCTTGTATAAAAAATATATACTTAAAATGATTTTGATGGGGAATTACTTGCGTCAAATCAAGCGATAAGGAAAGTTTAGTTTTTAGTTAAAGGGTTTTTAAAATAAAATTTTATTTTAGGGCTTTATTTATAAATAAATATAAATACAAAAGGATTTACAAAAATTTTAAATGTTTTTCCTACATATATCAAAATAATGTTTTACATACATATCGAAATAATGTTTTTTAAATACGTATCATAATAGTTTATTATGTATCAAGATTAATAAACGACATTTTAGTCACGAAGCTTGCGAGCGAGTGTTTAATTAAATGAGTGTTTAGAAAAGTTTATAAACAAGTTGCATACTTTTTTCCACGACAAATACTTATTATTAAAAATGATTTAAATTAAATATTTGTATAGAGCGACATCTATAAAAAAATAACTCACATAGGAATTTATAACTTGGGATTTTGTCAATATGTCAAATTTTTATGTTTAAATCAAAATTTATCATTTAAAAATGGACTAACAACCGTTTAAATCTGATATAGAAGCAGTTTTTTACAGTGAAAGTGAAGAAAATGTTTTATAGGCAGTTTACAGTGGAGAATTTTTAAAGTTAAATCTAGTTTACTGCCGGCGAAATGAAACGGTCAGTACAATGTTCATATAAACATTTTAAATATTGGCGCTGAGGAACTTTTTAATACCTTTTATTTTTTTATCAAGCTAATAAAATAATTTCCACATTATTCTTTAACTTTATTTTAAAGATTGTATTACATTTGACAACTAGTTTAAAACTAACTTTAGCCCGTGACCAAAACGCCATAAAGCCAAAACTTGTCAATGTGTATTTAAAAGATCACTTAGGGTCATGTAAACATGTACGATAATAGGCGTTTTAATGGTGGTAAATTGCATTTTTTTTATATTTAATATTTAAAAAATATGTGAAAAAAACTTTGGATGGTTAATTGACCACTAGCTATTTAAGCGGTTAATTTGATTAAAATATATTAATATTTGCAGCATTTTATTTAGGTTGGGCACCGGTAAAGGTAAAGGTAAAGAGTGGATTGTGCTATCTTTTTTTTTTCTAAGACTGATAGATAGCTACGATAATCCAATCTTTACCTTTTAAAATAAACATGGTCATTATATCCTAACCTTTAAAGTCGAGCAAAAGTTAAAAAAAGAATAGACAATATTTGAAACAATTATTGCTTAACTTAACCTGAAAAAAATAATATTGGTCTATGGCATTGTCTTTATTACATAACTTTTTTACAATGTTTCAAATATTTATCTACCCATATAATATATTATATATTATATTTATATAAATACTACAATAATTTTTTCAAACCTTCAGACAAGTTGATTTTGTTTGCGAGACCGACATTTTTTGGCTATATTTAGAGGTAAAATATACATAATTATTTTTTATATGATTCTTTTGCCAACCTAATATCACCCCAACATCTAAAATTCAATACATAATACTATACACATAAATATAATTATGAAATTATTATTACCTACACAATGTGTCATACATTTGGTGGTTAATTCTATTAAATTCCACTAATTTAGCAGCTCTTTCATAATTCCAAACCAAATATTAACTAACACAAGAAACAATCTTTAAAAATGTCGGACACTTTCGTGAGTGGGGGATATTTTTAAGAATAGGCCAGTCGTACAAATAATTACTAATCTTAAAATAAATATAATTAGGTTTATATCCAGTATACTTAGTTGTATATCTTTAAGAACAGAATAGAGGGAATTTTACAAAATTTGGTATAATCGATTGTTAATCTTAAATTAAGAATCATCTTGTTTCAACTGTACTTGATTTTAAGCTAAGAAATAAAATCTTTTTAATTTAAAGATTATTTTAATTAAAAGAAATTTAATGTATTCGTAGCCTAAGCAAATTATACTTAAATCAAGTGAATTTTTTTAAGAATAAAGGTATTCTTACATTTAGAAAACATTTTTTTCTGTGTACTGTGTTTATTATGGTATACAAATAGAAAAATAATTATTTACGTTAGCCAAAGTTTAAAATTATGTAAATGATCAACAAATTTGCTCAATTAAAGGCGTATTCATGCTCACTTAAAATAAGAAATAAGAATAAGAAATAAGAAATAAGGAATAAGAAATAAGAAATAAGACCGCGATTGATCGTTCATGCTGATAACATAAGAAATAAAAAATGTTGTCACACAATTATATTTTATTATAGTGGATTATATTGGCTATAAACGTAAACAATCGACAGCGAGACTCAACGCGATTTCCAACACCATGGCTCCATGGCCAGCAAATAAAACCCATCAAAATAATTCACAGACCCATTTTGGTTCTTTGCGCAGTTTTATACGCAAGAATAGGAACCAAAGTTAAAAATTGTTAATCTTTATTCTTATTTCTTATTTTCATGAGCATGAACGCAACCATTACTTTACACAGTTTTAACTTTTTATCTTATTTCTTATTTCTTATTCTTATTTTAGTGAGCATGAATGCGCCTTAAAGGCTAGAAAAGTAATGTCGTAATTTTTAGTAAAAAAACATTATTGGCTTTTGTTATTGGTTTATGCTTTTAATTTGTGTTTAGATAAATATATTTTAAAAATGAAATGTGTAGGTATTTTGTATTACAAAAAATTATACAAAATATTATACACAATTTTGTTTTTACCCTGGGCGCCTTACTTCCTTACTACAAACTAATTATACCTTTGCATTATATATATATATATATATATATATATATATATATATATATATATATATATATATATATATATATATATATATATATATATATATATATATATATATATATATATATATATATATATATATATAGGCTTTATGTTTACTACTGAAATATAATTAAATTTAAATTAGCTTACCTGTTCTTAACGCGATTATCCAGTCGCTTCTTTCTTTCGGATCGGTGGCGATTAAAAACAAAGTATAGTCCTCATCTCCGTGATAGCCAATCAAAAAGGGTTCGCCTTTAGCATCCTTGACGCCGATAAATTTGTTCGCAACTTCTATTGTGTGCACGTTTTGCAAGTCGATGCGTCCTTTTATTTCACTTTTCTGTAACAAGGAAAAAATCATTTGTGAAAAATTATGTCAATAAAATAGCTAAATCAGGGTTTTTGTTTTAGTAAGTTTAGTAAGAAAGTACATTATTTTTCCTACGACCGTTATGTAAAAGTCACATTTCGTATGGCGTCATTGCTAACAGAATGAATATGTTCATTTGCAAGTCAAAACTCGAATACAAAATTACAATTATGTGTGAAAAGAGGACTTATTTGTGTAAAAAGAAAGTCAGATTGGTAAAAAGTTAAGCTAAAAATCGCTTGACAATTAATTGTCGCTTGGCAATTAATTGCCATTTGTCAAAATGTCAAATAACATTGGCTTTAAATTCTGAAAAAACTTGACTTTGTGTTCGTAATAGAAAAAGCATTGTGTTTTACTTGTGAGCCTCGTGCGCAACTTGCATGACAAAGTAATTTTTCAACACTGGTAAAACAAAAAACTGTTACAGCGTGTCCCGAAAATGGCGCACTAACGGTATGCCAGTGACCAATCTTATTTACTTCGGACAAAATTTCTTAGTAATAATTTTTTCTACTATAGATGGATGCAGATGGATGAACAAAGCTATATACTCTCTAAAGATTTTCTTATTTCGGGATCAATTTAAACTCACTAACAATGAAAATAAGTCATTGCGTAGAATTTGTATTTTTATTATTTTGTTTACATATTTGCCTGGTTCCAAGCTCCAAATGCAACTTGCGCGCCCAAAAATGATTTGAAAACACTTCATGAACTTCATGTTTACAAAAATATAGATTTGCAAATAGAAGAGCTAATTTGTTTGGCATTTTTTAATAAAAGAGTACCTACTGAAACAAAAGAAAAAATGGTTGAAAAAATTAACATTAAAAACAATCATTGCAAAGTAAAAGATGTAGAGCAGTGGATTTTTTTAAATTTAATTATAAAAAGGACATAAATTAATAACTACTTAGTGTAATTAATTAAATATGGTATCAAAAATAAAGAAATTTTATAAAAATACGTCATAATTAATAAAACGGATATAAATTATTTATAAAATCGTATGAAAATGGGAAAAATTTGAATAACTTAATTATTATTAGGTTATGTTTTATATAAATCAAATAAAATATTTCTTTCGGCAGGTTTTATGTATGCTAAATAATTTAAGTGTTATTTTCTTAGTTTTTTTACGGTACCATCATAGTGCGATTCCAATTGTTGCTTATTTTATAAGATGATACGTTTTTATTAACAAATTATTTTTTTTTTCATGAAAAATTTTTTTTTTCCGTAAAGTTTAATTCACTGTCTCAGAGGGTATTAAAAAACTAGGTAACCCTTAAATTTTTAATAATATCGAATAAAAACTAACGGAGTTATTTACTATTTTGCGCAGTAATAATTTCGCGGCTCGAATGTGCAAAAATACGAAAATCGATTTGAGCGACCTCTTCATCGAATTTGGATTTTTTTGTATTAATCTTTTAGTTTTAATGTAATCTTTATAATTTAGGCCAGTGCGGGTTCATTTTTAAAAAAAGGCTTTTTTTGAATCACCCTAGAGCACAGTGCTTGCAAGCACTTTTAAAATACAGTGCTTGGTAATTGGTAATTGAAGCCCTTTATAAAAAGTGCTTGGTAATTGGTAATTGAATTTCGCATTTCAAGCCATTTGAGTGCTTGCAAGCACTTAAAAGGCTTGCAAGCACTTTAAAGAGCTTGCAAGCACTAAAGGGCTTGCAAGCACTATCAGATTTGAGGGCTTGCAAGCATTGAAAGTGCTCCCGAGCACTTTAGACTCTAGAGGGAAATGCCCTTAGTAACAACCCTGTGGTTTCATCATCATCTAATGCGGTGTGCGGTGCAGCATAAGCTTTAATGTGATTGGTTGGTTGAAGGCCGACTTGGCCAGTACCTTTCTCCTTGCAGATAATTTGTACTTATTTTTTGATGATTTCTTCACTTTAATTGTTTTGCGTCATGTTGTGTGGACTAATAAATTAAAAACAAAAAACTTTGGTTTGGTTATTTTAATATAACGATCATCCAAAAATGTTTCTTATTTTTAAAATAAAGATGTTAATTAATTGGGTAGGAAGCAATTGGAAAACTAAAAAGTGCTTGGTAATTGGTAATTTATTTAAGAAAAAAGTGCTTGCAAGCACTTTTTGAGTAATTGGTGCTTGGTAATTGAATTTTTCAATTACTTTTCTCGGTAATTGGTAATTGCAAGCACTTAAAGTTTTCAAAGTGCTTCATGCTTGGTGCTGGCAATTACTTTTCCAGAGGGCTTGGTGCTTGGTGCTCGAAGCACTTTTTTTGAGTGCTTTGCCCAGCTCTGCTTTTAACATGATACGTCACATTTGAAAGGTCTAAAATTAAATACAAAGTTAGGTTGAAGTTTAAAAATATTTCGTCATCCCTCTGTTTTTGTCAATTACTGCCCGCAAACGGCCAAGCATGGAAGTCGCCGTCTTGCTTTATCTTGTTCCAAATGGCTTCAATGGCTTGCCAGAGTTCGTCTGCATTGTTTGGTTGAAAATGTTAAAAAAGTCATAATGGATGTGACAAAGCTCGATGTCAGCTTGACATTGACGGAAAAGTTTTATTCACACAGCCACAATATAGCTGTATGAGTTTTTTTTGTTAGCGATAGTAAATAAATCAACGTTTCTGCATAAGGCCCTTAGTCTTTAGGTAAAGTTAAATAGTAAAGTTAAAAAAGAACCAAAAAAATAAATTAAAATTAAATTTGAATATTTTTAAAAGCCTGAGACGTAAAACGGCATTACACTTGAAGGTAAGGTATTTAAATGTTCGGTTTTATTTCTCATTATAGTCCAAAGCTTCGTTGTTGCATGTTTTTTTCTCTAATAGTTTACCATATTAAAAGTTACCATATTATTATCATATTTTTGTGTAAATAAAAGTCATATTAGGTATTAAAAATGTTTGTAAGAATAAAAATTTAGAAAAAGCATGATAGAATGGATCATTATAAAAAGTAATAAAAAATGATATAGAAATAAGAAACGGTAAAGATAAATTATGGAATAAAAAATTAAAATAGTTTTGCGGTACTGGTAGCAGTTTTAAAAGTGTTTCTTTAAACTATAATAACTATTTTAAACATGTAGGTATTTAATTGATTATGAAATAAATAAATATTACCATGGTGAAATGGTACCATATTATTGCATTGTCTCTGAAGTTACATACTTAGGTATGCCAAATTTTAGCTCAATTCGAGCCAGCAAGTGCTTGAAAAATTGATTACAGAGAGACTTCAAAATCGAAAGGTATCAAAAGTCTAGTTTAAAGAATAATAGGGGTAATTGGGGTCGCAGATGCACTAGAAAAGAGCTATAGCTCGGAGAAAGGAGCTAAAGGAGTTTTGGCAAAGTATTTCAACCTGGAACTCTACTTACTTACGTACAGTACATGGGAGGGTTTAAATTGATATGGACTTAATTGAAGAGTAAACCATAATGGGTGTAACAATCAAGGTCCGTTTTTTGTGCGACGAATATAACGCTAGATATGAGCGATTAAAAAAACATAGCGGGGGAAGGGGTAATTTGGACAGTACGGAAATTCAGGATTAAGATCCCCATCGAATCTCCTTTCGAATAAGGAGCAAAGAAAAAAATGTACCGGAATTTGTTTGTCGATTACATACTAAATGCACTGGAATAATATATAATATATTATAACAGAAGTTGTTAAGATCCACTTTTTGTTGTTGCTAGGATACACGTTTTATGGAGAGTCACTGTTATAACGCTGATGACTAATTACTACAGTTATTAGTGGCTGCTTTTTCACTTATGCCTTGGTTAACCATGGGATACCATGGTATACCAATTCTTATGTAAAATGGTCCTCTGAATCCGAAAATACCGTCAAAAATTATTAAAGTAGAGCAGTTTTTAAGATAAAGTCAATTCCATATTATATGGAAAATTGTCTATATCGTCGCCTTCAGGAGAAAATCACGTAACTCCACATTTTCATTAAAATTGTATTTTAGTGGCATCTGTTAGATAAAACTGTAACTAATTTATATGCAAGTTACAGAAGTCCTAAAATAAACCGTTAATTTTAAATTTAGAAAAAGAAATATACGTATCTCCAATCGTGGAGGAGCGTCCAGGGAATAATGCCTAACTCCAATATACAAATCAGTGCCATTGACAAGTATAAGTTATTGCCTAGTTATTTTTTCTGTATGTAAGTATGAAAGATTGTATAGTGTGTAAAGTTAAGGTACCATGAATAATTTAAGGTTACTTTTATTAACATAAAGTACATATTGGAGATACGTAATTTTCCATTAAACAATTTTTTGGCGGTAATGTGGAGATACACCAATACACCTTTAATATGTTTTTCTTTCCTCCTGTAAAATTTTACAACATGGAGTTAAGCAATTTTCTCCTGAAGGCGACGATATCTCAAAAATTGTTCTACTTTTCTAACTTCTGAAGACATTTTCGGATTCAGGGGATTCAATTGACTGCTAAATGTTCGGGATACAAATTGCTTTTGACGAGAATTATTAGTGGCTGGTTTTTCGCTATGACAATTAGTCATTTTTGACTAATTCATTTTTAGAAAGTACGTAATCAAAAATCAACAAAAAACAAACGTACTTGATTTCTTGCATTTTTTATCAAATTCATTTAAACGATTTTATTATTACAATTTGATTCGAAAGCTTCAGGCACCAACTATTAAGGTGACTATTTTCCAAACCCAAAAGTCCCACTTTGACATTTGAATACAAATAATTGAGGTCATAACCTAAAAGATAAATCTATCTGTCAGTTTAACGCTAATTTTATACACACAAAATACATATACTTATTGTAGGGTTTCCAGATTCTGGAAATAAGGACATTTTGTGAAAATGTACCTTCATTTCAAAAATGACACAATAAAACAATTCGAATTGTAAATTTGACGTTACCTATGTAATGTTAATTGTGTACTTTTTGTAATTAAGGTAAATTCTTACA